TGCTCAAGGCCACTTCTTTACAGATCTTCTCCAAAATTTTTAAATGCACATACACCACTACTACAATAAATGAAGTAAAAAGCAAATTCAGCAATTTCACCATTCTAACACAGAATGTTTTCATTTTTTTTAATTAAATGGCTTACATTTAATTTTCATCATCATAAAATTAGATGTAAGTAAAAATATTAATCCTGCTTTTCTAACTTAACATTTCATCAAACATATTTTTATAACTAATTTTAACTAGGACTTTTAATGACTACAAAATATTCCATGGAGCTAAAGCTGCCAAAACCCCTGTTGCTTAGTGTTTAGCAGATTTCACTGTTATAAATGATAATACAGTGCATGTGTTCCTGCATGGTGTTTCTTCCTTCTTTGAATTGTTTGTTTGGAATAAATTTCCAGGGATGGAAAGAATGGATAAAGCATATGAACATCTTGACATGTACTGTCAAATTGCCATATTTGCATTTTCCACAGTTCCTTGGTGGTATGCTGCAAAATATTTTAAAGCAGGGTCTTGGGTGGCGGGGGAAGGTGGAGAGCCTGATTTATTGTGTTTTCTGATTTCTGTGGCATAAATACTTCTATTTCAGCCAATTTGTAGTTTACAACATGATCTCACTGAATGAAGAAGGAAGAGAGATGATCAAGCACACCATCATAAAGTATTTTGACTACACGGAGAAATAGAAGTAAACACTGGCTTGCAAAATGTACAAAAATATTACAATCATTTCTTCCAAGCAAGTGCAGGCTGGGTTCTGGAACACCACTGTCTTCTGTCACTTGATATTTTGCAATAGCATTTTTTTTTTCCACTGAAACTACTGAAAATTCATCTTATTCCCAAATGATGACCATGCTTTTAGGGATATTATACAAATAATGAATAATAATGATGCAGGAAAAAAAAAAGGTGGGAAGTCTATCTCATATCTTGGTCAATTACGTGTCTACCCATCCCCCATGCATTTATTTTACAGTGCTTTATCCCCATGAGGTCATGCATACAACTACTCAGTCATTTATTTATTTTAACAGTAAGCCAAATAGGTTATGTGGCCAATATGATGAGAATCATCCTGCATATTACTTCACCGCCTTGGTTCCTTGGCTTTCTTTTCTATGAAATGGGGAAGAGGTCACTGCTGACATCCGTTTTACGAGAAACTAAGTGCACAGATAAGACTGTTCCAATTTAAGCTCCAAGAAGTCATTGAACATTCAGCAATTCTCTGGAAATTTCTTCCAAAAGCAATTCATTTGTATTCTATTTTGTCGGAGAAGTGATTTGGCACTTTCTCCCTTGAAAGCCAACTTCTTTCTCTGAGATCAGAATAACAACATATAGCCTGTGCATGTTTTTTAAAGAAGTGGCGCTCTATGTTTGCATATTAAAATGTAAATATGATTAAGCTAAGTATGTTCACACTCTTGACCAAGTCATCCCACTCCCACGAACTCATTCCAAGGAATAAATTCAAATAAAAGAAAATGCTTTCTGTGTGAAGATATCCATCACACGAGAGAGAAGATAGTTTGGCTCATTTGAGCACTTACTCAATGTACCATCTCAGTGTGTATGGCCCTGGTGGGAAGGTTCTGGATTAATGACTCCCAAACCCCCATCCATAAAATCACTGCTTCCAAGTCAAATTAGAGCTTGGTTTATGGGGTTTTGGGGTTTTGTTTTGTTTTTTGGTATTGGAGATTGAACCCAGGGGTGCTTTACTACTGAACTATATCCTTAGTCCTATTTTTTTTTTTTTTTTTTTTTTTGAGGCAGGGCCTCACTAAATTGCTGAGGGTCTCACTAAGTTGCTGAGACTGGCCTCAAATTTGCAATCCTGCCTCAAGCCTCCCAAATTGCTGGGATTACAGGTGTGCACCACTGCTCCTGAGAATTTCTAATTCTTAAAAGCTTTTCCTGTGGTTTTGATGTCCAGTCGGCCTTAGGAACAACTATTCCAGCCTAGAATCAGACAAATCTCTGGGAATAGCTGGACAATATTTTATGCAAGTCATTAAGAAGTTGCTCAGGGCATTCACACAGCTGCTGGAATCAAATGACTGAACCATGAAAGGGCTGTGTGCTTCTGAACCCCGCCTTTCCCTCTGTTCGCCCCTTCCTTCTCTGACACCCTGCTTCTCTCATTGCCCACCCCTCCCCCCCTACTGTCATACTGTCTTCCAGCCTCCACGGGGCACCCCATCCTGACTCCTGCCCATCCCTTTCCACACATGAAGGCCCAGATTTCCTCCCTATGTTCTCACTAGAACGAAAACAATATTACTCTTTGACTAAAGTAATCTACACACATATTTGAGAATCTCTTGCATAATTAACATACCAGCTGTACTTGCATTTTTAGGGGCTTTCTAATCCAAGAGAATCTCTAATCTAGGGAGTAGAAAGGGAAACAGGATCTTTTTCATCCTGTCTGGCCTTCACCCAGACCCAAGCATCTAGAGCCCAAATAAGTACTTTCAACACTTGCTCTCAAAATGGTCCCAAGTCCTGAAATTGAAATATTGTAAAAATTAAAAATTAATCTAATCTGGCCAAGGAAGAAATGTCTCTCACTCTGCCTCTGACTCCGAGCACCTCGATAATTCCACCCAAAGCATTCAGAGAGCAACATCAACCACAGATGCCCACAAATGAGGCAGTGCATAGTCAGAGGAGCCTGAGAAAATGATAGAGAAAGACTTGAAAAATCAGTCTCTAATCTGATTTTCTTTTTTTCATGTATCTTTATAAAACACCCAACTCCTGTGTCTAGTTTGTACTTGGTGCCTAAAAAAAATGTCAATTCTCAGTCTCTGCCACCAATTTCCTTTGAAAGGAATATTGGTATTTAAAAAGCTAGTCGGCAGGTAACTTTCTCCCAAGATGGGTCATATTGTTGTCATTTGTCCATATCCAAGTTTTTATAAGAATCATAACAGCTACATCTTTGAGTGTGTATTTAATGTTGGGTACTAGATTCAGTGATACACACATATATACATATACACGTTATATTATATATAACACCATTTTATTATATATATGATATATGTATATAATAATCATTTTATGACCACAACAACCCTCTGAGGTAGGTATCTTCAGTTATTATTACCATTAGAGCCATTTTACAGATTTTTTAAAAATAGGAACATCAAAGAATTTAAGTAATTTGTCTGAGGTTCCTATAGACCAAAAATGATAGAACCAAGATTTAGCACAAGCCAATATGGCTCCAGTGTCAGGGTTCTTATTCACCATACTATAAGTTTTTTATTATATGGATTCAGATATTTCATGGTCCAAGAATCATGATATACTTACTCCCTAAAGGAACAGCAGAGTATCCATAACATCTCATTCCAATATGCAAGGGAACACAGTTCACGGAACTTTTGGACTGGTGTTTTATTATTTTTATTATTTTAATTTTTAGTTGTAGATGGATACAATACCTTTGTTTATTTATTTATTTTTATGTGGCACTAAGGATCGAACCGAGTGCCTCACACGTGCTAGGCAAGTGCTCTACCACTGAGCCCAGCCCCAACCCAGGACTGGTCTTTGAGAGCCAGAGACAAGCCTATCCATCCACCAGTCGCTCTCCCATGAAGAAGGCCACTTCAATTACCAGAGCCCTGAAGGACCTCCTGAGAATGTTGAAACGGGAGATGGAGGTCACCCCAATCCACACAATCCCTTCTCTGCATAAATGACGTTCTAAGGGGAAGACAGTAGGGGACAAATGGAGGACCACAGACAGATGCAGGGACAAGAAAGCAAACCTAAGGATGGCGAAGATCACCGAATTCCACTCAAGTGGAATTCCGTTAGAGCAGAGAGAACTGATAGGCGGAACCTAGCGCCATAAGAAGACTCCTTCCAATGGAGTCTGTGCTCCTTAGTTTCCCCTTAAGGTCCCTCCGGAGCTTTCTAATCCTATTTTCTGTAATGTGCAAAACAAACTTTCTTGTCTTCTTGGGCCGTCTCTTCAACTGGGGTCATCTCCAAGTCAGTCTCACACTTGTGCAAAGACCCATGCCGTCCTCCCTGTCTAAAATAACCTTCCCCTTCTCCATCTGCTCCAACTTCACATCCTTCCCAAGCCCTTACCTTCCCAACTCCTCCAGCTTACTCCCAGAGCCCCTCCTTGGAACTCCTGTAACTGTGACAGCCCATGCCACCCCCTTTGTCACTTAAGCCCCACCTTGCACTGCTTCCTGGGTTTTATGTCTCATTGCAACTACTAGACTATGGGGTCCTTCAAAGGAAATATTTCTTTATATTTCTCTCATCTCCTCCGAAGCACCAGCATAGAACCCATAAGTGAACGTTGGTTACTGGTTGCTTGTTTGAATCCTTCACTGGCAGCTGTGACTTAATAACGCACCTAAAACTGGTGATTTCCCAGACTTTCTTATTTACAACCCAGGCAACTAATTGGTACTTCACAACTTGTCTCCAAATGAAACCATCTCAAAAGCCAATTTTAACTTCAAAACATAGACATTATATACCACTTTTAGAAAGTCAATAGTAGCGTTGTCAATAGGGGAAACAAACAAGCTAAAAACACTGGATCCAAATCTACATCATTTTGATTTTGGTTCTGTTTCCAAACTAGAAAAATTTTAAATTGATATTATACTCATTAGAGGATCTTTAGATTTACTTCATCACACACGGGGTGATATTCAAACCACCTAGCTCGTTGAGCTCAGTCCTAGTCAATTACAAACAGTGCATTTTCTAGGAGAACATCTGGAAAACCAAAAAGCGGCGTATTATCATGTTTAATGTTTTCAAAAAATGAGATGCATTTTGTTAGGACTTTGGAGGGGAGGGGAGAGCAGAACCACTCTCCCTCCTTCTATAAAGTGGAACAAGGGAACCACGATGCTCAGCCTAAACTAAAGCTAAATAGAATGAGAAAGATTCCCGTAGACGCTGAAGAAATATTTTTAAAGAAACAAACTCTTACCTGTCGAAGAAGACGCCAAGATGACTGACTCCGGAAATCAAATTTACTGGGCACAGGTCTGTCAAAACAAAAGCAAGCGAAGCCTCATCAGCCTGGTGATTTACTTCGAGGATTGGTGTTTCTCTCCTCCCCAAGATTACGACTGCTTCATGTTGGAAGAACTTAAAACATGAAGTTGGGCTGATAGAGAATCCAACCCGAGCTGGTCGGGCTCAGCGCGCAGAGGTGACTGAGGGAGCAGGGACAATCTGAATGTGACAAAAGCGATTAGCAAGTTCCTGTGCTCAAGTCAATTTCCTGTGGCCCGCTTCTCCGCAGAGGGGGTTTCGTTTGTGTGGGTTTGGGGGTGTACACGTGCACTTTTCTCCATGAGACGGTGAAACCTCCCAGCCAAGAGGCAGAGGGAGGCCCCTACTGCACAGCTGGGTCTGTGTTTCATTGATCCCTCCCTGGACCACTTCTCCCCCCATGCCTCTATTTTCCTTCAAAGAATCAATCACCACATGCAACTGGAGAAAGGAGTCGTGAGAAACCAAGATGATTCCTTAAGGAAGTGAAATAAAGTGCACACACACACACACACACAAATCCCCCACATGGACTGGTCTTGGTTAATTTAAACTTAGGGAAAAACACCTTAGAGCTTACACACGGTCAGCTTGATAGTATGAAGACAGGAGGTGAGCTATCTGCTTTGCTTTAGTAACTACCAAATAATAATTTGGAAAGAACAGACACAGCCATAGCAAAAGCTCCTGTGGCCCCATGCAGTGGCCCTGCTTGGGTGGCCCTGCACCTGTGAAGGGAGGTACTGGACTCTGAGTTGTTTTCAGAATCCTCTGAGTTTCGTTATTTGCCTAAAAACATATGTTTGCTTTTCTTGTCTCTCTCTGCAATCCAGGTGTGGAGGCCATCTGTAATTATTCAGATTATGGCTGAATTACCTAAACCAACTTTTTAACTTGCATGATGTGGTCACAACCCAAAACATACCCCAAATCCCCAAATAACTGTCAATCTTATTGCTGAGGGTGATACCTTGGTTGAAAACTACCTGCCATAAGAATAAAGTCCATTCAAGTATGCAAGGATTTATGCAGTCCCTGTGTCTGTCACGAGACAGTATATAGTGACAGGAAGGGCCTAGGGACACAGGCAGATTCAGAACCCTGTAACGGGCCTGATACCATGTACAGAAAAAAGACCAGGACAGATAAACTTCCGGCCTCCCAGCACCTAAATCCTGGGGAAGAATGGGGGACACAAACAAATAGTCAAACACAGGTAACAAAAACAAATTATGGTGACCATTACAAAGGAATCAGAAAACGTGCTGCACAGATGGCAAGAACATAATAACTATATTCTAGAGGTGGTCAAAGATGGTGTCTTTGAGCAGCTGACATTTAAGCTGAGACTCAAAATTGTGTTTCTCACCCTGGCTGAAAATTAGAATCGTCTGAGAAGATTTTCAGAAAATATCAATGCCTGGGCCCCACCCACAAAGACTGTAATTGAATTGAGCTGCCAAAGGACATGGACAGCAATTTTGTTTTAAACTCCCCAGTTATTCTGGTTAGAGCACAGGCCACTGTGCTCTAATGAATGAGAAGCAGATAGCTTGGGAGAGGAGAAGAACAATTTAAGCAGAGATAAATGGTACGTGCAGAGGCCCTGAAGTAGGAAAGAGCTTGGCATGTTCGAGGACGTGAAAGAAGAATAATGTGCCTGGGGTAGAGATGAAGGAAATAATTGGTTCAAAGATGAACTTTCTTGTAGATGGACACACAGTTATCAAACTCACAAGAGCCTCTTACAGGAACTCAAGTATCAGCTTATTAAAATGCAGCAGGAACTCAAACTGCCATCTAAGACCTGGGAGCCTTCTGATGGGCACATTATCTCCTTCCAGAACACTCTCAGTGGACTGTCAGATTACCATTGTGATGTTAGTACAGGAGCAGAGCATACGACTTGTTGGACATTTTCTTTGCCTCTGGCTTTATCAGAGGATTTAGGGCAGATGATAAAGATACAGCACCTTAGTCAGTACAGCAAGTTAAAAACAAAAAAGAATCTAAAAACAAAGCCAGAGAAATGAAGACAAAAATCAAGCTAAAACGAGAGGTGAGGCTAATACAGAAAATGTCTGCTATGTAGTTCTAAGCTTTTCGGAAACCAAGCAGGAAACAAACCGCATAGAAAATTCAGTGCTCACTGGACAGAAACAAACTTGTCACCAGGGTACTAGAGTCTTCCTAGCTCTCCAGTGCTGACACGAAAGAGAAGCATTGTCACTGCGGTCCCATGGAGAGGACACCATGGCCCGAGCCTTGGACTAACCATGGTCAGCAACAAGATTTGTGAAGTGGTTCCTTATATTTTTTTTTCCTCAATGTTAAACTGATTTCCTCTCACCAAAAAGCTTACTGAAAGCAAATCTAGAAAGGGCCTAGGGCAGAGTGTGGCGGGGTGTTAATATAGTGTGTGCCGCACCACAATGGGGCTCCTTCATTCCAGTTCAACCCAGAGATGACGGTTGACTTCAGATGTGTGTCAGAAAATTCAGCATAAAATGTTTCTCACTCAAGCTTCTAAAAGACCCCAAAGTAGGTCATAGCAGAGCAAAGTGGCCCACGCGAATAATCCCAGCAATTTGGGGGTCTGAGGCAGGAGGATCATAAGTTTGAGGCCAGCCTGAGCAATTTAGCAAGACCCTGTCTCAAAATTTTACAAAATTTAAAAATTAAAAAAAAAAAAAAAGAATTTTAAAAGGCTGAGGATGTAGCTCAGTGGTGGAGCACTCCTGGGTCCAATCGCCAACAAGGGGGTGGGGGGATGTCATACTTCTAGCAAGAGATCCAGTGTTTTGTTTTGTTTTTTTCTTTTTTTTTTCTTTTCAGGGTCCCAGGTGGATACTGCCTTCCTTTGGAAAAGCAGAGGAATTGAACCAGGGCAGCTGCCTACATGGACTCCGCCCCTGCACATTTTCTGCACAAAAAGGTGGACATACTCTGGGGTCAGGATGGATTGGTGTGTCCACAGGCCCGGGTACTCCCACCCCATCCTGGAAGGACATTGCCACCTTCACTGCAAGACTCCTCTCCCTGCCCCACTCCCTGGCTGACCACCCTCCTCGGCTGAAGGACCCGCTCTTGCTCTGGGTGTGGAAGTGTGGGTTTCCGACGGTCTCAGACGGCCAGGCTTCGTGCTTCCTCCTGCTCCTGGCTGTGAGAAAGTTTTCCCAGGCGTCTCTCACGTTCTTCTAATCTTCACGTATAGTTGAATCTCAGAGGGGGCTTCTTAGGAGGAGGGGAAGAAACAACTACGCCTCTTCCTTTCCTGAAAATGCCTTTTTTTTTTCTAGTGTGCTTGTGTGCTCTCACTCTTTCTCCTTTTTTCCCCTCCTTTCCTCTCTCACATTTTTTTTTCTTTATAAATTGAACTCAAGGCCTTGCACAGCTAGGCAAGTGCTCTGTCACTGGGAGCCCCCTCTCAGTCTCTTAACAGGGTTTAAAAGGGGTAGCGACAGAGGAAAGAAGCAAAGGACTTAAAATACATTCACGCACTAACACAACTTCTCAGTGTGTCCCTTCTGATACTCTGTAGTCCAGCCTTGGGACAGAGATGGGGGGAATCTCAGGACTTCAGAGTGGCAGAGAGGAAGGAATTTATGGGTATAACATATGTAGTGGGAATCAGACCCTCCTTAAGAACCATAATCCACCCATCAATCAGCCCTGCAAAGTGCCCTCAGAGGCCCTGGAGGCTAGAGGCCCAGCTTTTCCCACTCAGGTAGCCCAGGCATGAATATTCCCTGAAAAACCACTTACTGATGAACAGACTGATTCTCCCATCTAATCCTCCCAACCGTCCTATGTGGTAAACATTTTAAAACCTATTTTAACCGCTGAGGAAAGAGAGAACTCAGCTGGGTAAATGATTTGCATGAAATTGTAAGACCTGTGAAAAACAGAAGCAAGGTTCCCCCCTCCATCTGTCCTGACTTTTCACCCCACTGCCTCCAGGGGAAGGGAACAGGGCCACTGTGGGGAAGCACAGGCGGTCAGAGGCCCCAGGCCAATGGTGTGTCTTTTCTGAAGAGCCCTTCTCTGAGATTCCCACAAACGCAATCAACAGGACAAGGTTAAAAGGCAAAGGCTTTCTCAAAACACATTCTTTTGAAATGCTAAATGATATGGCCAAAGAAGAGCTCAATTTTCCTCTCAGGACCTCTATTATGGAAGATTTTTAAACAATCTGCTGACTTATGAACCCTGAACTCATGCAGAAGTGGTGAGTTGGAAAGGTTCTCTGCCACTTAGGCCAGAGAGAACTCTTAAAGACAATTGTAAATTTGTAATGAAGGATTAATCTTTGTAATCCCGAGACAAGACTTGTTCACTACATTGTTTCTACCCTGGGTTTGTACAATACTTTTCCTCTTCTTCTCACTTTTATCATATTAACCAAAATGATTTAGATTTAGGGTAGCTTTGAATGTTTACAGAGGCCTTCATTTGTAATATGCCACCTAATAAAACATTTTCAGTGGTTTCAGAAGATGGAAAATATGTACTAAAATCTGGTCTGAATGCTTTGAGTTTCATACTCAGATCATTAAAACATATTGCAATTATTCTTACCCAGCTCCCCTCTAAATGATAAAAGACTATTAAAACACCATTGCCTTCTGATTGAGAGATTTCATGATGGGGATTATAAAATGTTAACTCTTCTTAAGAGAAATATCTTAATTCTGATGTGTCACTTTCAGTGTAAAGTGACATTCATACAAAGTTCACTTTAAAATCCTGAATATTGAAATATCTTAGAAAGGCCACAGACTAAACATATCATGACTGACTTCCTCCTTGTGCCTCTAATTCATTATAAACAACAGGCTCCCTAACCAGATAACAATATCATTTCAAACATCTCCTAGTTTCCCTCTTAGAGCCAGAACCATAAAAACATCATTCACTCCACCCCACCCCACCCCACCCCACCTGCCGCTTTTCTCATTGTCTATTTAGTTTTTAGTGTAGCTCGGCATATTACTTTTTGTTCCTGTGAATATTAGGTTCTCAGGATGCTGAGGTGCCATTGTCATCCTGGTTTCTTTGCCTTGTAGAACCATGTTTACTGAGCAAACCTTCACATCCTGGTTCTTTTATTGCAGAACTACAATTCATAACAATGCAGACAGAGTCTTATTGCAGAAGGTGATAGCACCCGAAGTCATAATTCAAGACTGGACTCTATAGTTAGGGTTCAACATCTTCTTAAAGACCTCAGACAGAGCTGATGTAGTCAAGTGACCATTACCCTTCAAAGCAGACCCTTGGCGGCTGATGTGCTTTTCCAACATTGCAGACATTCGTTAAAGCACTTTTAGAAGCTCTTGACAAAGTCCTTCAGAGACCGTTTAATAAACTACAAGACAAAATCAGTATCACTGCACCCTATTCCCGGCTTACTTATGACTCAAAATATTATCCAGCTTGTTCACCCACCTTATTCACGGGATGTAGCTCCAAAGGGCTGTCTCCTAAATCAAATGCACTCTACAAAGACATAGATTGGCCAGCATTGATTTTTTTTTTCTTTTTTCTTTTAAGAAGGTGAGGCAGCCTCTGAGAACAAAAGCAGAAGAGTTTGAATTGGGTCAAGTGCACTAGCTCCTGGGTCACTACTGTGAAGCACTCAACTTTCACACCGATGCTGACAGTCTGGTTTGTTTAAAAAAGAAGAGAATGAGGAAAGCCATCGCAGCTTCTTCTCACAGTTACGGTTTGCTCGTTGTCTTGATATGGATCTTCAGTCTGGGTACAGACATCACAGGGTAACTGCAACCCAGCACATCTGCTCAGAGCAGGCGTTGCAAACATTTCAGTTTTAAGGCCCATGGGCGCTAACTTGACATCTTTTCAAATTAACAGGTCTCTTGCACAGTTCTGGAGGGAGCAGGTTGAAGCTTACATACAAACGCAAGCTGAACCCTTGGAGAAAGTAGAAGTCTGGATTCAGACAAAGCAAGATTCAAATCCCTGCTCTACTTATTCCTAAGA